AMMWWCAWCAGAACAGCTCTCTTACCAGTTATTGTCATCAGCATCCCTTGTTATAGCCATRCCTGCCTCCGCACACGTCCTTCTTACTAAAAACATGAAAATACACAAACGTTACATGGATGGGTGAAAAAATAAATGAACAATAAATGAAAACTTGYCCTGCTTCCWTTGTCTACCTTCYCCTCAATCAGCATTGAAGATTKAGATTGGCATCAAKGCAATTAAGAGGAATTGAAAAYAAKTGATTGTTAATATATAGTACCCCATGCTATTTGAATGAATCCTAGTMAGTATTGTCAAGAGTATCATCTTTCACACCTGACACATTACTCAAGTATTCAATAATTTGGTGTCAAAGATTTTAAGTGTATTTAGTACACAAATCTCTTTTGTGGTTAAAGCGGAACTGAAKTAACSTCCTTTGATGAGAAAAAAATAGTCAAAATAAAACATAAAATATTCTAAGTTAATTAAAATGTTTTGTTTAATGATAATGAAATTTCTTTTGTCGTRAAAACACAGACAAAAATATAAATTTGCATATGAAAACAACGAAGATCTGCTAGACGTCAGCATTGGTTCAAACTTCCACTTTTTGGTGATTAGTTTAATCTACTGGTGAATTATTTAAGTCGAATTTTCTGGATTTGAAGATCCGAATGACAATGGTTTTCTTGATAGAATGGATTAAGCCAGCTATTCAAATGAATAAATATACACAACCTTTGGATTCCACTAAGTGTTTTTAAAATTTACCCATGCCTTGTAATAATAGCTCATCTACTAAAGCTGTAACTATTTTACGCGATTTCTGTGGATTTTGTGGTCGTATTGTTAACTCTTTTATTAGATAAAAACCCTTAACTTTTATGCCTTTTTGCCAATGCAAATAAGACTCCAACTTTTGTGTTTGTAAGCTATAATTACTGTTTATATCCCAAAAAACAAAAGCCTAATTTAGCTAGAAAACAACTCGAAAATTACTTACCGACATCGTACTTTGTAGCCGCGATATTCGCTGACACTCTTCGTTTTCTGACGGTAGTTTTTTTCTTTGTGCTATGTCTTTTTCCGCGCGTGAATTTCGTTTTGCTTGGTGACTCGTCGTCATCTTCTTCTTCAACATTCACAGTTTCCGTGTCTGAATTCGCAGGACTTATGTCACTATGATTGACTTTCTTTATATCGAGATAATCAATGTCTATCTTAGACTTTGAAGAAGCCATAGATGTAATGTTGTTTGTGAAGAYGGAGCGTGGTGAACAAGGCATTTCTAGTAGACCGCGTTCCCATGGCTTCTTGCACTGATCATTAGCAATAAAGTATCAACAATGTTACTCATAATATCTCTTTATAGACACCAGAAATATATCAGTTTTCTTTGATTACTCTGGTGTACGTAAGAAAGGCATGTAGTAAGAGAAATCTCCGTTGTGCTTTGAACTAATCTTTCGATATTTGTAGCATTAGAATGGCTTCCCGGCGTTGCGTTGCGTTATGTCACGTTGGTATGGAAACCACCTACAACAATGTCACGTAATARGCCAAGTAGTCCCCAAAACAGTATCTAAGTAGTGAAAGACTATTATAACTTTATTAGCAATCTAAATAGATTCATA